GTAGTTAGTTCTCTCAAGTCATAGAGCCAAGAAAAAAAAATTCCTTCTGGTTCTTTCTGTTCTCATTTAAAGCTATTGCAAGTGAAGTGTCACAGTACCATCTGGCAGATAAGGAGATGCCACTGTACTCTAATTACTTTTGTTATCTGTATGCAAACTCAAAAAAAAATCGAAGGCACATGGCCCTTTCTGCCTTGCTCCAGCTTTTGCACTAAGGCTGCTAATGCATAAAGCTCTAGTTAGAGACATTTGTTCTACCCACTGAATTCAGACTTTTGTCAGCTGCATCATTCAGACTTTTGTCAGCTGCATCATCTGTATAGGAAATTTTCCATGAAAGAAGATACTAGGGAGGGAAATTTAAAGAAGGAAGCTTTTTTAAAGTGTTTTCATCTTTACATACCACTGTTATTCTGTTATTATACTTGGATTACACTTTTGCATTTCAGCATTTTAACAAGAGCCTATTTAAAGACATTAACCAACTACTAAGACAGAGGCAATCACTATGTAAGGGATAGTGATTACTTAACTGTCCTCTATTTGGAATAAATATGCCCTATGATAGAATACCTTCCATAATGACAAATAAATATGATGAAAATTTCACAGATGCCTTTTACTTAACAAAGGGATAGATTTTAATTTAAAAATGTCGTGAAACTCCTTTAATAGAAAAGTAAATGTGATGCTGCTGAAAATTCAAGGCACATAAGTTCACACAGTTCCTGGAGATGATACTGGAGATGATACTGCTGGGACTGATCCAGCCTCAGTTCTTTTGGCAGATTTTCAGTCTGATTAAAAATGCTTATGTGCAAACAGCATTAGGTGAACATCAAGCCCCTGAAAGGCAAAAGGAAACACCAACTTCTGTAATACAAAGTATGTAAGAGAGTTTTCAATCTAATTATAAATAACTAGCAGTGGAATTGCTTTTTATGCAGCTTGGAAGCCTAAATAGCACTAGCATACAACTGTGAACTCCGTGAGTTTTTCCAGCTTCCTGATGCAACTTTACTTTCCTCAACAAATACCATGGTCCAGTGTGGCAACACAGACACACTACTTTAGGGTGATGGACTGAAACACTGAGTTTGTTACTTTTAAATATTAAAAGCTGCACATTTTATGGTGGATTACAGCCCTGTTTTAACAGCACAAATGTTCTCCACATTTATCTGAAGCACGCAGTCTGCTCAGATGCACAATAAAGAATTTAAATTAAGGCCTTTATAATGCCACCCTCAGAGTGGACTCTCAAGTAGGCTTTACCCTTGGAAGCCCATGCAGTCATATAGTTCATTTATAGCAATAATTCTCTTTCAGCCAGTCACGTTTCTCCCTTGGCTCCAATGAAGGCTGGATCACATCCTTAAAGATAATCAGTTACAGAAACTGCCATCTATAATTTTGAATAATAACAATAAGAAAGAGTGCAGCAAGGATAGCCCAACAGATGCAGCTACTCAGGCAGTCAGAAAGACCCTGTTCCTTCACGAGGAGGAAAAACACATGGAGGTCTCCTTGATGAATTGTGGGACATTGTTGACATTTCTCTCAGGAACAAAATGCAGAGGGCACAGTGACTGCTACACCACAATAAAATATGAAAATAGTCATTATCTAATCATCAAAGCTTCTAGGTTTTGGCTTCTAATGCTTGTAGTCCTTCCAATGCTTTTTAAAGCACCTTATTCCATTTTCTCTCTGAGACACCAAATGGTACCTAGAAGAGGTTGACAATTTTTTCAGTCCAAAGATTTTTTTCTGAATTCAAATAAGCTGTGAATTATAACACATTTAAAAACAAAATATAAGGAGATAGCTACTCATTGCAAATTAATATGCATAAAGGAACAACGTTTTTCATGTTACAAGTTGTATTCCTTGTTTATAGTCAGGGTTGTCAAGATCAAAGATACACATTCCTACAGGATACAAAAATTTTCCAGCTACCTACATGGTGAAACACATGTATTTTTTCAGAAAATTGTACTGGCTTCACAAAAAGTTTCAGAATCAATGATTTTTGCTGTGGCATTGCTGTTTTTAAAAGGCAGACTAAATCTGGCATTTTGTGTTTCTGTTTGAACTTTCTCATACTTGCAAAAGATGCTGATGTTGGCATAGGGGAATAAAAACCTTTTCTTCCAGTACTGAAGATCTTTTACAGCTTTGAGAAGCACCTTTCCACCACCACTCAACTTATTTAGGAAATGGCAGTTTGATATTGCCAGTTGTGAAGCAAAGAATATTTCATGGAAATATTTTCCTAAGAATTTGTCAAAATGCAGACCTGAACTGAAATTGATAATAGGAAGGCCTTATTAATTATCCAGCAATCTTTCCCACTGCCATGTAGTACCACTCTCACTACATTCCACTTCCTTAAGTATTATCAGTGGCTTATGCCAGACTAAAATGTTATGAATTTATTGTACCTATTTGCTTTTTTGAGAAATATTTTTGGACTTGGTACAGATTTACAATAGCTGTGAATTTTACTTGCTCTAAAAAGGCTCTATATGTATGACAGCAGAGCAGCACTGGAACAGGGCACTAAGTTGTGGAATCTACATCCTTGCAGGTTTTTCAGACTTGGCTAGACAAAGCCTTTGCTGACCTAATATTGGTAGTCTACCTTGGAGCACAAAGTGTGACTAGAAACCTGCAGAGTTTCAACCATATTTCCATGAACTGTGACCTGAGGTACTGAAACAAACCTGGTAAGCATTCAATTAAATAGGTCTCTCACTCTGCAGAGACAGACAGTCCCAGCATTACCTCTCAAATCTACTATATCCTTACAAGGCAGATTTTCAAAATACTCCATAGACAGTAAAAGGGAAAGTCATTTATGAGAGTTATACAAAACTAAGTTTTACTTCAAATTACTTTTTCCTTTCCTCACACTTATGCCCTCAATTACTTGATTTTAATTGTACCAAAAACATAGTTATCAGATTGGCTCCTTTTTGTGGAAACCCACCCTAGGAGTGGGCTCTAGGAAAAAGGATACCACACATGTTATTGCAAGAGGCTTGCAGAACATAACTGCAGTGGGGAAATGACTGCCCAGCTGCATGAGGAGGACATGGTCATGCAGGAGGCAGTCTCACTCCATACAGGCCTCAGAAGAAGTGATGAGAAGTAACAGGGATACTTGAAGAAGACAAAAAGAATGGATCACTGATAGAACAGCATGCACAAAGGCAGACCAGCTGTAAGATATGATACAGAATATTCCACTGTAGCAGACATCTTTTCACTCTGTAGTCGCGAAGTTATTAGATTATTTCTAATTTAATATGAAAGTGAAGATTATGGTGATGAGACAGGAAAGTGAGGGTTACTGAAGAGTTCTTAATGTCCAGGGTATTTCCTGAAGGAGTCTCTTTTCCAGGCTGCATGGAGTCCTTGTGCATCTAGAAATAGCAGCAATTGTTTGCTTGGCCAATGCACAAGCTCTGTCTAGGTGGCAAGGTTATAATGCATTCCCAAAAATGCTAATGGAATGATGTTCATTAACAAACATGAGCTTCTAAGTCTCAGCCTTAGAGCCCTGAGGCTTCAGCTAACAGCTTAGAGCTGAGGGCTTAGATTTTGATCTAGATCATTTTAATAACACAGGAATAACTCCAAGCACCTGAGCAGTCCCAGTGAGGTCCACGCAAGCAAGCACGGAGACATCTGCCTGGACTGACTCACACAAGAGCTAACAATCGAAACTCTGAGTAAGGGCTGAAATAAGACCCTTAACAGTACTCCTTAACAGCCTTCAAAATATCACCTCACCACACCTTTTGAGAGCTTTGTTGAACAAACATCTGACAAAGTTCATTCTAAGCATTTTCTATACATGCTATTTTTTCACAGTATGCTAAGCAAGATTGCCGATACTGCATTTGTTTAAAACAAGGTGGTAATCTATGCTTTTGATTAACAAATATTAAATTATACATCTCTTCACTTGCACCTTGTGGCTGCACAGCTCTGAAAAGTTGATCCACCTCACAGTTTTTAGCCTCCAAATGCACCCATTCTTCTATTATAATAAACAAATGGGCTATACCCACTGTACAATTTGTTAACGTCATGTGCAGAAAATCTACATTGCACATTTTGCAAAGTTCTGTCAAAAAGATTTAGAACAACTCTTCACAAACACTAGAATAATATCCCTGAATAATATTTCAGAACAGTGACTTTCTTATCAAAATCCACTGTTGAGAAAAAAGAGCTGCTGCATTACAGGAGCTGTTATTATTTCAGCTGATACTGGTTTTTATCTTCTCTAAGTTTAGAATGCTTATATCACCTTTTAAAAAATAAATCATACAAACCATTTGATTGAGATAATACCAATTCCCAGCAGCTCCAAGTTAGCAACTGTAATGTTACTCTCATTTTAACTAAATGGGTTTACATTTTTATACACATAAATTGCTAAGCAGAAAAATGCATGTACTGAAATTTGGGGTAAAATCTGCTATGAAGTGTCACTGTATGTGAGAAAAATATTTTGATTACAGAAGAAACAAAATATTTGGAGTAGTAGGAAAAAAAAACCCAGCAGAACCAGTTGTCACTTTCACCAAAAAAAAAAAAAACCTCAATTAGTCCTGATTATGTAACTAGGCCAACCTGGATGGAGCTTTGAGTAGCCTGGTCTAGTGGAAGGTTCCCTGTGAATGGCAGGGGGTTGGAACTAGATAATTTTTAAGCTTCCTTTCAATCCAAACTGTTCTGTGATTCAATGACTGTAACAGTTCTTATGACTATTTTCCTGGTAATTTTAAGAAATACAGCAAAAACTGCTTGTTACCAAAAAGCAACAACCTTCCTATCCAACTAAAAACTCCTTTAGAAATAAAGAAGGTTGCAAGCATTGGAATATGAGTTCTCTAGTAGTCTTTTGCAGAGTGGAATTGATGCACCCCATTTCCTTCAGATTCCATTATTTGTTTTACTATGCATCCCACTGCAGTCCTCCTTACCTTCCAGAGATTAATAACCAAGTAGGTCTAATCAGACAGAGCTGTAATCAGTGCTGTGGGAGCCACCAGGACAGAATAGTCTTGTGCATTTGTTGGTCCAGCAGCAAACACTGAGTAAGCTGATCACACTTGCAGATGGACAAAGCAGCATTTCCTCAGCCAGCTGGGTCTCTGCAGTAACATCACCTAGCACTGCAATCTAAGAGAAAGCCACAGTTACATTGGCCTGCTGCGACTCACCACAGAAAGAAGGAAAAAAAAAAATCTGGCCAAAATTACAAAAAGGAAAATATTTTTAAAAGAAACAAAAAGTACCTTTTAAAACTCCACACCTTTTCTTACACAGTTAAATATAGTTTGGCACTCTTAATAAAATCCTTCCGTCTGATGTCCTTCCCACCCAAGAAGCAGCATTCATGAACACCACTGCAGGACTTTTTATTGTCAGGTTAATACTCTGCTGACAGAATCCAGGACAGCCATGAATTTATGTGCAGGAAGATTCTCAGTTGCTGGAACAGTTAAGTGTTATATTTTAACTCCAGCCATTTCTCAAAGCTTCAAAGAAAAACTCAGATTGTTCTCTTTGGCTTTTCAAGGATTTTACATTAAATATAGTTAATAAAAACAAAGCACTTCCTCTGTTAAAGTCAGAGGGAGGTCTTCTGCTGACATCGCTGGAACAACACTAAACTATTCTTAAAATTAAGTATAGGTATTATCCTAAGTAAATAAATAAATAGATTAAATTTTTAAAATTCACTTTCTTGCCTAATTCATCATCAGCCCTGCATTTAGAAGATGAAATCTGAATTTATGATCCTGCTTGTCCAGACTTTATCCCAAAATAGGAAGACTGGTATTATAAACCCCTGGGAAAACAGATGCCTAAAGAAAGAGTGCCTGTATTGATCATCTGTGGGAGTCAGTGCATGTAGGTTGCAAAACCCCTTGATAGCTGGAGCATTTCACAAGAGCATGAAACCTGGCCTGTGAGCTTCCCAATGCAACACTGGAAACTTCTCCCACTTAGCTTGGGAATCCACATCCTAATATACCAACCTTAGTAACCAAGACTTGGTATAAGCTGTACTCTGACAGTGCATGTTTGCAGAACCAGAACAAAGTTTATGTATGTAGTCAACTTTTGCTTAACAAGTGGGCTGAGCCCAAACAATGAGTCTTTGCCATATGCTGTACTATCAATGTCTCAATGAGACCAAGAATTTTCCTACTTGCTATGAAAAAAACAGTTTTGCTCTCTAAGTAGTCTGTTGTGAACAAAATATTCAAATTAATTGCTACTCACAGCAAACAAGAGTATACAAAAGGACTGATTCACTGTATTTTAAAAAAGAAATTAAAATACTATTCTACAGTTATGAGCAGGTTATTAGAATATTAGAATATTAAAATTTATTATATTATTATCTCTGTGGACAACTTATGACAATAATTTAAGAATACTGATAGCCCTAATTGTCACACTACAAGTGGAAAAATTACATTTTCTTCTAAAAATAAAAACAGCCTAATTTTAAATACAACAGAAGACATAATTATTTTTTAAAAATCAGTGAAATTATGGTGAATGAAAATCAAATAAATTCACATTATTGTGTCATGCATGCAACACTTGGAGGTTGAAAACCTGAAAGATTGATGATTCCAAATAAATATTTCTAGTTTGCTTTATCCAGAAAGCTATTGTCAAGTGCTTTTTAAATCAGTTACCCTCATTGCTAAGCTCAAGTGGAACATCACATGTAAAAATTTTAAAATTTAACATTTTAATCTTGCCTGTATAAAAGCACAGTTACTGAAATGATTAAAAATGAATTAAGTAGACATTGGTAGATGTAAGAGGAGATTCCCTAAATTTCTTCAGTCTTCAGGCATCTACATCCTCTTAAGATCTGAGTTTGCATTCAGTGTGGAAAACAACTACCTGAATCTGATAAAGAATCTGTGAGGCCTCCTACATGCTCCAGTGTAGGTGGATGCTGGGGCTGTGTGGATGTATGTACTTACCAGCTTTGTGCCTCATTATTTGTCTGTTAATCTTTTTATTAATCAGACGAGTTAATCTCATATTTCTGGCATGCGATCAAAATATTAATATTTTCTCAATCAAATCAGACCAGACATACTTATACAGCTGAACTGTACACCAGACATGACCCACTTTAATGTCATCAGCTTGCTGGTTTCCCTTGTTTCAGTGCAGCCAGAACCAAACAGGAATGACACTGGCAGGATAACACCTACCTACAGAATCCAGAGAGATATTAATTATACATGTATTTAAATATGAGTGATGCCAACTTAAGGAATGAGCTGAGAAGTTAAATTCCTCAACGGGCTTGTTGTCATTTGCCATGCAGAAGAAATCACTGTGAAGCTCAGACAGATCTAATGGATTTATCAGAACCTATAAGCATTCTGGAGAAACACCATTTGCATGAAGCATGTTACAGCAAGCTTCTGTCATTTTTCTCCTGTTCCTTTAAAATCAATTTTACGTAAGCATTATTTCCAAATATGCAAGTTATTCTGGCTATAAGTCTAGCTTACATCCCAGGGATAAGGGATATGAACCTGGGGGTTTCAGTCACCTGGATTTATTGGTCATCATGTCATGACAAGCAGTTTAGCATCACAACAGATGCCAGCACAGATATCAGTGAGTAGGCCGGGATTATTTTTTTCCCTAAGGAAGAAGGATTAATCTTCCTGCCTGATAACTTTTTTTTTTGTGAATCGCAGGCTCATTCTTAGTGCCAGACCTTGTCATTCCACTATGGAGCAGATGGCTCCATTTGTCTTAGGAATAAATTCTGCCTCATGTTTCCAAATTAGTCTACAAATATGGACGCCTGCCTTAATGAGAATAAAAGAAAAGAAAAAGCATTCAGTCATACTGATGTCACATGAGCATAATAGTGCAATAGAAAATGAATAGATCCATGGGCAGAACTGGTGTTGTATAAGTTATCTCATCATAAACCTAGAAAAGCAAGGGTATTTATATTTGCTGTCATGACAGAACCTATCATGGCAAAAGCTGAAACAGTGATTGCTCAAACAAACAATTTTGGAATGGACATTTTTTATCATTGAATACTTTTGCAACAACATAGATTTTGCATTCAATTTTGCTCTTGTGCCTTGTATCTCAGCTTTATGGCATACCTGTCTTATGCATTTGAAGTAAGATCTATCTTGAAATACATTGGTTAAAAAAAGCTAACAAGCTGCATTGATTTAGCTCAAACAGAATGAAATAGCTGTTACATATGACAACATAAACCCTTTTCCACACATTCACAGACTTGGAAGAACAACCTTTCTCGAGAGAGACAGTGAAACAGATAACAATTAAAGCATAAACTGAGCCAGAGATTAAAAGCAAAGTTCGCAGAGAAGTAAAAAAGTCTGTCAATGCTGACAAAGCAGTGCCTTTCAGGGACAGCAGAAATGCTTCCACATGAGCCACCTCCAGAGCTGGGAGCAGCGTCGTGCTGGCACAGAGCTCTTCAGGCTACAGCCTAACTCACACTGAGCTGGTAATCGTGGGCACTGCTACACCAGGAACATCCCAGGCTAGATCCTGAGAAATAGCTTAAACTGGCTCTGCCCAGCATGTCCTGCGCCATAACTGCACAGGGATCTCACTGCACAGGGTGGGTTTGGAGCTCACAGTCCAACACAGCTGGTCGCTGAAAATTGGTTGTAGGGAAGGGAAGAGGAGGGAGAGCAGCAGATCCACAAGTGAGAGTTTCCTCCCAAAAGCAAAGTGTTGAATATCTTGGAACCTGTCTTCAGCAACTGTCAGCTGGCACAGAAGCATCAAAATCTCAGAGCTCTGCAAAATGCCTGTGGTTGGGACATGGTCATGCAATAGAATCCAGTGCTGAGCAGTTACTTCTGAATGTGTTTACTTGTGCATTATGCACTGGGCTCTCCTCTCCTAATTACAGTAATCACCTGTGTAGCTGCCAAGATGCGTTGTATAAGTATGTTCCTTAAGCATTAAGGTACCCTTTCAGAAAACATTGTCCTAAGGGTGAGAAATAAATGTAGACATCCAAAATTCACAGATGTTCAGACTGCTTAAAAGTGGGAGAATTTTATCTTTGAAAAGATATCTATGCACATTTAGTAAGAGCTGATAGGTGATAGAAGTCAATTACAGAGTTAACAAGACCAGCAGGATATGTTTAGAAATAGGAGGGGAGACTTATGCAAACAAAACCGAGGATGATAAAACTGCCAGGTAGAATAATTCACTGATTCTCAGACAGCCACATCATCTGACTATGCAAGAAGCAAAACAGATGGTAAATGTTAATACAGATGGGTTTATAGGCAGCTTGTCATAATGAACAAATATGTACTGTGCAGCATGTGCAAAGGACATTCTACCTATATTGTCTATCCTGTAATAGGAATTCTCTGGATGTAATATAGACATTTCATATCCAAGTTGTGTGAGCAAAGATATGTGCATGTCAGTTGCAGCTGAAATGCAGGAAATCAAAGGTTACCAGGTCAAGTTTATGCATTTTCTGCAGGCCCATGGAACAGAGGGCAGAACCACAGTACAGACTTCCCAAAAATATCTACATAGTTTAAAAATAAAAAGATAAATGTGCTCACATTTTCCTAATGGAAATACTTCAACAGTGCTATCGAAAATCTTGAAGTATTTAGACTGCATTTAAGAGACTTATTACACCTCATTTACAAACACTAGCAGGCTTGGGAATAGATAGAACAGTACCTGGGGTAGGAAACTGCAACATGCTAGCTGGTCATTTGGGGTTTACATAGCTTTCCAAACACACACTGCATTGCAAGCTCAGCCCCGCAGTTATGTGGTTATCAGCAACAGAGCTACTTAATTCTGGTTGGGCATGTTGGTGTGAATTGCTCTCATGCCTAAGACTTCAACACAGATTCCTCCTCCCCACCCTCCCCACAAGAAAGCCTGAAAATCAGTTGGTGAATTTTTAGAGCCCAGGCTCTTTAATGTCTGACAATCCTAAAATCCTTGTCAATATTCAAATGCCAGCAATATTAGGACTGCTCTATCTTGTTTGATTCACATAAATAGTGACTTTCCAAGAGTTCCTCAAATTCTGACTTTTATTTAAAGTTACAATGCCTAAAATACATTACAACCTTATCCTCTTCTAT